CCCCAAAACCCCAAAACCCCAAAACCCCAACATCTATGATCGTAATTGAAGGGTTTGGTAGAAATTTAATAACTTATAAATCTGGGCATAAATTTAAGCTTAAACTTTGCATAAACTTATACTATATGTCCCTACACATCGCACCCCTCTTAATGACTATTCACTCTTGTCTATGAGCATATATTTCAAATCTTTACATAAAAGCTTTGATCAAAGAAACAAGTCAAAATAATACCCCAGCATCTAGAAAACAACCTTAGCACTTAATTTTATAAAATCTCACTTTTCCAAACCACCCAAAAATCTCCCAAACCCATTTAAAAATTAGCTTAACTCCCAAAATAACCCTTTGTAAATTTTTGCCAAAAACAATGGATTCTGATAACGAAGATTTCAACGTGAAGGATCTTCAAGGCCAATACGTCAGCGCAGATTTCTCCAAAAAAACTTTAAATTCTGAACAGAAAAATGGTGCCCAAGACTCGGAAGTAGCCAAGCTCGATCAGCTTAACCCTATTGGCAAGACAGAAGAAGAGATTAGGACCGAACGAGTCGAGTCCCTGATCGCGAAGGCTTCTGAAGGAATGGAGTACTACCGAGTCCAACAAAAACGAGAAGAAGCTACAAAGAAAAGACTTGAGAACTACAAACTCAAAATTCAGGAAGCCCAGGCTGATGAGAAGGTGATGGAAGAAAGCTCTGAAAAGGCAGAAGAGAAGATTAGAGAGTTTCGCAAAGAGATTGATACTTCAAGAGTCTGGCTCCATGCCCATATAGACTGGTTCTATGCATCTATTGAGGAGAGAGAGAATCCTGACCTCAAAAATAAACCATTCGGGATTGGCGACCGTAATGTTATTAATAATGTTAATAAATTAGCGGCTGATCTAGGCATCCGGAAAGGCATCCCATCCTTTGTAGGTAAAAAATTATGCCCGTTATTTGTAATGATACAGCAAGATATGGTCAAGTATCGTAAGATTTCTGGGTATTTCTCAAATATTTGTAAAGAATATGACCCAAATCCTGAGTCCTCTAATCTAGACGAATACAGCTTGGATATTACCGATTATCTGAAAAAGTATAACCTCAAAGGCGATATGGGAAAGAGTTTTATAGCCCACAGAATTCAGAAATCTGTTAAAGAAAAGCTTGGCTTTAATATAAAAATTGGGATAGGCCCAAACATACTTATGGCAAAAGTAAGTGTTTAAGGTTTTAACCTATTTTAGATTCTTTGTTTCACCAGCGAAGACCAGATAGCAATTCTTTCAAGTGAGAAAGAAGCAATAAATGATTACATGATAGACGTCTCTGTAAGAAACCTTCCTGGAGTTGGTAAATCGAACGAATCAATCCTTAAAGGTCTAGGAATCACTAAATGCTCCCATATTCTCGACAGAGCTGGAGAGTTATTTCTTTGATTCAATGAAAAGACTCTTGACAATTTGCTCCAATCTTCAATTGGGCTATCAAAAAACACTCACGAAGTGAAACACACAGCTGCTCAAAAGAGCATCTCAGAGTCAAGTACGTTCCGTGCTATATCAGAGTAAGTAGCCCCTCTCTAACTTCCTATAGAATTTCTCCTCTAAAAACAAAAGCAACAGAGCTTGCCAGAACAATGAGCGCTCGGATCCAGAACGAAGGCTTGTTCGCAAAGGGGATTTCCCTCAAACTAAAATCCACCAAAAACAAAGAAATCACCAGAACAACCAAGAGAGACACCTACATGAATACACAAGAGGAGATCGTTCTCGATATCATTGAAATTCTTGACAGCTTTGACAAAGTAAGTTTCAATATTTTACTAATTCATTGGGGTTTTGGGGTTTTGGGGTTTTGGGGTTTTGGGG